TGGGGCTGCCTGTGACTGGGGTGGGGCGCACATGCGGCTGTTTGGTTGGGGGAGGTTTTGCTTTGCCAGCCCCGGCCCGGGGATGGGGGGATGCCTCCTCTTCCTCCGGCCCCGTGTGCTGTGTGCCCGCCCTCCCACCTGCCTGGCCGGGGGTTGCTTGGGCTGCTGGCAGGTCAGAGGCTGGCGCTAGGTGCCTTTCATGCCTGCCACTGCTGCCCAGGTGCTAGGAGTACATCTCTGTTTTTGTATCACTTGGAGGGGCAGGTATCAGGCGGGAGATGTTTTCAACCAGCCCCTTTGATAACTGGCTCCGTAAGAGCTGCAGGCCCCCTGCCACCCCACCCGTCCTGCAGTGACCCCCATGGCTCGGGGCATACGTCTGCAGTGGGTCGGTAGCTGCTGATGCGGGTACCTTGTTACATCCCCTCCGGCACACTAGCTGACCTGTCTTGTACACACTGTAGATGGTCGTGTCTCAAAGAAGAACAAATGTATGTGTGTTTGTATGTGGATACGCAGATACACGCACCTGTGTGTGTATGTGTGTGTGTGTGTATATATATATACATATATATAATGTACATGTGTGTCTGCATATCTAGGTATAGGTGTGCGTGTGTGTGTATACACACAGATAATATATCTATAAATAATTGAATCCGAGCTCTCTCAAGCTTTGGACCTGTGTAGCTAAGGCAGGATCAGGGTTTGCATGTATGTTGGGTGTCTCGGATACATATCATACATCTGGGGTAACATTTCAGGGGTAGGAGAAACCGGTTTTTAAAATGGTACTCGGAGTCGCCTAACCTTCCTTCTCTCCTAACTAACAACAAAGTGGCGGCGGCGCTGCGAACAGAAAGCCCAGTTCTCTTACCAGCTGTGATGAGTTTACATGCTGATGTTTGTGTCATAACTGATAAGACTCCTCCTCTCTCTTTCAGGCCAGGGCCAGAACGGTATGGATGACATGTTGGATGTCGAGAACAAGCATATGGCAGACAATCTTGCCACCAAAGTCACCAGGCTGAAATCGGTTAGTTACTAACTCCATGTGGTCCATTTTCCTTGCTGTGTTCACTGTGAGAAAGGAGCTGGTTTACACAGGGGTGATTTCTTTATTCCATGGTTTGAGAAGATGCAGGATATGATACAGCCTGTGGTGGGCTGCATAGTTAACTTTTCTAATGATGTAGCTGGGAAATTTTACCAATTTTCTCAT